TCACGGATGACAAAGCATCTGCATTTTGCTTCGTAATCGAGGATATATGTAGATGTCTATGGGTTACAGCAACCACTTACCATCAGGTGAACTGTATGCTCATTTATCACCCTATCCTATAAAAAAATGAAGGGTAGCTGCTATAAGACTGAGCTGAAATGAACCAAAATGGCATCCATCCTCCGGACTTGACAGTGGTAGAGCCACGCAGTGGCTATTGATGTCACATGGATGGGTCAGCTTGAACCGGGGGGGTACCACGACCTCACAGAATACCTGCGTGAATTAGAGGTTTTCCTTTGCGGTTCGCTTGGGCTGGAAGCCCATTTCCCCCTCCTCTTTAACATCGTAGGGGAATCAAATAAAAACTACCCCAAGAACCCTCTTCCTACTCCTGGTGACGGAGAATCCCTCGCTGTGAGCATCCACGACCAAGCTACTTTACTCTTCCTGAGCGTGGGTGCTTAGGCTGCTCAGCGTATTCTGGCGGAGGGGGGGGATTCTGCTTGTGACTAAAACTGTTAGGGGCAAGTGGAGCAATAAGACCAAGGCGACCCCTGTCACGGTATCCGTGAATTTTTGCAACATCAGGACACTTCATTCCAATCTGAGGAATTGTTCGGATTTATCCCAGCCGCCAAATTTCGTGAACGCACTACGCGGCAAACGTCCCGATCTGCGTCATCTGGATGCTTGGCGGTCCACCACTGTACGTTTCAAAAAGAGTTTTCTTCCGCGTACAACCTCTCTGTGGAATAGTTTACCACCAGCGATTTTTCCGGACCGACACGACCTGGGGACCTTCAAGAAAAGAGCTTACTCCTTTCTAAAGGGCCGGCAACGCACCTGCAATTCCCCTGGTGTTGCGGTTGATCATGGGCGGCGGTAGTCACTTAACATCAGGTGAGCCGCATGCTCGTTTGCCCCCTCTGCTATAAAAAAAATCTTAGTGTAGTGCTGTCCACTAGGAGACGGCGAAGCCGGCCATGCTCTTTTGAACCGAGACTCAGGTGTCCTCTCCGGATGATACTTCATATCTCTCCTACCCGGGGTACAAGTTAGGACACTCCTTGGAGTTTGTTCTATTTTGCATTTACTAAAATATACTTTTTTTCATTTAAAAAGCGTATTTTTAATTCCATGGAAATTTATTTTTTATTCCAACTAATTCTTTCAGTGATTTCTTAAATTTACTCGAACACTACACTTTGAAATAAATTTAAATTACATTTAATTATATATAAAAAATTTTAATTATATAGAACATAAAAAATATAATTTTAATATTAAAAAACTGAAGGTAGCCGGGCTAACAATGACATTGGGACGTCAAACATCTCAGCCCCCCCTCCCCCCCCCCCCGTGACCATGGGTGATGGAAACGTCGGAAAATTAATAAAACTAGTAAAAGTAGTTAATTAAACGCGATAATAATAAATAAATAAATAAATAAATTTTATTTCGTTTTAAGAATAAGATAATAAGATAGAAGCCGTAAATTTCGTTTTATTCAATAGTTCTTTTAGTATTACTTTTTATAATCAACATGTTTTACATTACATATGTTGTATATTTTATCGATGTTTACATGCTCACTGGACAATCTATCAAGAATACTTTTAAATGATCTACAGACGCCTCCTACGTGCTACATTTAAATTGTCAAATTGTTGAAATTTATTAAAACATACAGATATACTTTCGTAAATTACTCTTATAGTTGTAGTATTGCATCTCGATTTTCAGACTTTAAAAAAAAAGTGGCAACACGTCTCTGACACACAAAGTTATAAAATTGGTTACAGTTTCTTATTCTAGGTGCGATATCTACCTTTTTTTACTTCATCTGAGTGTGTAGGAGACACATCTAAATTCCTACGCATACATGCTCGTCGATTAAGGGTACTCTTAATTTGACCCATTTTCAATATACATCGATAATTTGGTCTATAAATTTTCGTCTGGGACATCCCTTTCAGACTATTCCATTCACTCCTGCAACATTAATTTGCTTTATCACTCTCTTCATTCTTTCTACATGACCATACCTTTTCTTTTTTAATCCTGGTCACAACATCATGTAAACCACACTCTTATTACACAATTTTTCACCCTGTCACTCAGATTCAGGCCTAATATAGTCCTTAATGACCACATTTCTACTGTGTTTATTCCACTCTCGTGCTTCTTCTGCCTCACCAAACTTTTACAACCATATGTTTAAAATAGGGTCTAACAAACAGCATTGTGTATTGCCATACCTACATGCCTTTTTTGACACATTCTGACTCTCCCACAACAGAGTGTAGAGCCCCATTCACATATTATTTACTCACCAGTCACCTCACCATACTAGTTTGAGCCTGGGGAGGCAGCAGCTTAACCATAAAGAGAGTAGGTTGGAGGAAAATCGAGAATCCTTTTGCTTCGCCTAAGAGCGCTCCTGTATGAAAAGTTCCGAAAAAATGTTGAACAAACTCCAGTATCACAACTAATGGATATATATTATGACTGTGATATTTGCGAATTTAAAACATCTCAATTACTTCAAGGTCAGCCTGACTCTCAACTTAGTGTCCTTTATCTTTAGAGAAGAGAATATAGATGATGCTGTTCTGGATACTGAAGTCTAGCATCTGCATCTTCATACAAATAGTGCAGTGGTGGACTTGTAGTGGGCTGTAATGATGATGATTCAAAAACCTGAATGAATAATTTATAAGAAATAGATGTGCTACATAACTTTTAATCACAATTAATTGTTGTGTTAAAAAAAATCACTTCTTAAAACAGTACATAAGGTGTGTGTAATGACATTGAAATAAAATACGTACCACATGCGTACCACAGCCACGCAGCTGCCTGGATAAGATACGGAATCATATTCTGGCTAAACGCTACCGAGGTACACGCGGTATCCATGCTCCAAAAACGCTGCCTTAGAATCATCACATTCGCAGCTCCAAGAGATTCATGTCGAAGGTTGTTCCCCAGATATAACTTACTAACTGTAACGAGCATGTACATTTTTGAATTATGCCGATTTGTTAGGAAAAATCCTCATTATTTCCAGCGATTTGAAGATAAACCCAATCGCTACGGCACACGCCGAGGTTATAATCTGGTTGCTCCTGCCACACATCTCACATTATATAAAAATGGTCCCTACTACATGGCTATAAGGGTTTACAATCATTTACCTAATACAATAAAAGCCCTTCCAGTGTCGTAAATTTGAAATAGTACTCAAGAAAATGCTTATTGTAAAAACATGTAACAGTTTGAAAGAATATTTTAATAATAAATTATAAATCAATTTTAATTATTTGACAATTTTCTTTATTTCTATTTACATATTTGACATTGTTAGCATTTTTCATCAAAATTTTTAAACTTTATTTACATAATATAAATAACGAATGATCAGTTGACAATATTTAATGAAATTTAATTTTTAAAACAAATGTGTAAGTATTATTTAGTCTGACATTTTATAATATAATTTATATATTGTGTACTATAAACACTACTATAAATACTGTAATTTGAATGAAATGAAAATGAATTCTATATTAATAAAATTTAAACTCTGTTTTAATACGCCCCTACAGGATGTCACATGCTCTGTAAATATATTGTTCCAACTTTATACTTTGTGACATGCAATAAAGAATTATGAATAATTATTGTAATGTGCCTTAATGTGTTCATGCTTGTGATATGATTGATTAAAAATCACAAATCAGTTATGATTCTGTCCCTCTTTAAACTTTTATACAATAGATACTACCAAAAACTTAAAGGACATTACCCTATGCTACGCTGGCTTAAGGTCTTTTTAGGATAGGGTAACAAGCGAGCACATAGTCCACCTGATGGTAAGTGGTTGCTGCGGCCCATGGACATCTACATCTATCCTCGATTACGAATCAAAATGCAGATGCGTTATCACCCGTGAGAACTAAGATGGAATGCCTCATTTCCAGTAAAAAGGGTCTCCAGATTTCTACACTCACCATACAAACACTGCAGCATTAAGCTACTATTCTACGCTGGCATTCTGTTAGAGGGTGGTCCTTCCCCAGTCGAGCTGACCCTCATGCTACTAGTATACTAATATAACTGCAGCATGGCTCCAACACATATAAATAATATAAGGTACACAAAAGACATTTGATACATGGTGGCTGGAATTCCAGCCATAATGTCTTCCTGTCATTTTATGATCACTAATCTCTCAATTAAGTTAATTCTGACGTGTTTATTAATTTAGTTACTTCTATATTTTAAATTAAAATACTATATATATATATAGGGCTGAAGTTAATAAATTTATTAGTTTAAATTTTTCTCTAAGGATTTCCTTCAGACCTAGGTTATAAATTGCTCTTATGCCAGAGAGTAGTAGGTTCTTTGCTCTTATGGTTCTCATCTGCAAAACAAAGTTATGTCAGTTTCAGTTGCATTACCCCAAAGCAAGGTACCATTATGACATTATGCCATAGAAATAGCTAATTAAGCTGTTTTTTTACAGCATATGCTGCAGGTAATAAGTTTGCTAGCTAGTTTAGTAATAGAATTTTAATAACATGATTGTAGATAAATGTTCAATACATATTTGGATAAATTAACTTACAATTTAAACAAGCTCACAAATATTGTGCCTATTTAAAATTGTACAAACTTTGAAGGTTGAAATTGGCACTAGGCTGATATGGACATCCAACGTATGTAGCATTGTTAGAAAAGTGAAAAAACACGAGCATATAAAAAGGCTAAGAAGATGTTGTAGATTTAGTCTAGGTCATAAGGTTATTGTAATATATTTTTTATTACAATAACTTTATGTATATCTGTAAATAAAACTACAGTTCTTTGTTTTAAATCCATTATTATTAGATATCACCTAAAATATTTCATGGTTTTAATGGTTTAATGGTGCATACACATACAGATAAATACAAAGAAAATGACAATGTTTAAAATTGCATTTAATCACCTTATGGAGTAGGTGCTACCATAGCAATTGATGTCAGTTGGGAAATTATACTCCCAGCAGCAAGGTTTCCGTAGTACGCCTGGGCGGCAGCGGCAGTACTTCCAGCCACGATGCCGCTGCTGCTGAAACCCAGCAATGGTGCTACCAATGGAGCACCAATACCAGCTGTTCCGTAAATGACCGCCCCACCGACAATGTTAACAGCGAGAGCAGCCAACATACCCATTTTAGTCTGAAACAAGTGTTTTTTCTTTGATAAACCCGTACGAAATTCTTATACTTATGGTGTTTAATTTAACAAAGCTTCTGAAATCGTAAATCAGTTTACAAAAGATTTCAAGCCGCGACTTCGAAGCTAATTATTTTAATCCTTGAAAGTCGGTTTCGTTGGTTCTTTTGAGTGGACTAAGTAACATCGCAAGTTTAATGTAACAACTAGAATATCTCAATAATACATTATTAAAAACTTCATCCCAAATTTACTTCACATTTATATGGGGTACCTATTCCTTAAAGTTTAGTTAAAATAATCTCAGTTTCAAGTCTAGAGTGAATTAATTTTGTGGGCTATAACTACTAGCTATACTTAAATTAAAACTTTGAAACAAGGAATGTAAATCAACGTTCAATGAAGATATTTTAATGCATCTGTTATTAATTAAATACACTTAGTTCTGTTCTCTACTACGGCTATAAGATAGAAATTAAAACAGTACGGCTACAATAATTATTTACTAGGTAAATAAATCTTGCTACAAAACAAATAAATATATATAAATTTCTTACGGTGTAGAATAAATTTCTCGAACAGCAAACAACCAAGCAACCAGTTCGGTTTATACAAAGGACAAAGGTACTCTGTGCAAACAACAATGTCGTACTATTCGCTGTATGTGTATACACTATACACTTTGCTTGTACTTGTGTTGTTGTGCTTTCCTTTAAAATTTAAACTTCCCTTAATATATATATATATATATATATATATATATATATATATATATATATATATATATATATATATAAATATATATCATAAGATATTATGACGTTTTCGATATCCAAAATTCAGTAGCATATTTAAAGCATTATAAGCATTTGAAGTGACACTAGCCATCTGGTAAGCTTCCGACTGCAAACTTAGGAAGTTGTATGCTCGAATCTGCTATTTGACTACTGTGGTAAACCGTATTCTATCGTGATTTCTAATATTCCTATTTTTTATTTTAATAAAATATTTACCTTCACCGAGCGTACATTTAAAATTGTATTTATCAATTTTATTGGTTCCAACGGGCTTCGAAGCCGTGTTGCTCTACGATAGCTTAGGAATATTAAGATTAGGTATTATAGAACTTTTTTCCTATATATCTCAATTTTAACATATTCCTTACACTAAGCTCTGCCGCCCTATAAAACCAAAACTAGGCTGAGAAAACAGACAAAAACACAAGGTCATGTACTATAACATATTAAGAAAAAAGTAGCATACAAGCTGTGGCAATACCAGGAACACTTCAAAATCAACTAAAAAAAAACTAAATTAACAGTTAATATTTAAGGCGATTTTAGTAGGATGTAGTTTAACTAGTGTCGATAAGCGGCGCCCTTTCGACTATTTGATTGACCGATGAAGACTTATCGTGGCACGAAGCCACCTGTGGAAACAAGGCTGTAGTTTTTGAGTTATAAGAAAGTGATCATAATAACCAGACGACCATTTTTTTTTTCCAAAATTGTATGCTGTTAGCCCTGCGGCCTTTACAGCTTCATCAAATTAGACTCGTGAGTGAGGACCCGCGAGCTGTTGAGTGCAGCGATTCTGCGAGTCTTCGGCGAGGCGTCGGCGGCGCACCTCGCCTTGAACCACTAGCGTAATGAGGGCAGATGACCATATATATATATATAAATGTATTTTCACCTTCGATATTGAGTGACGTATTAATCGGCACAAATATGTTAAATATTTTAGCTTATTTAAAAAATGAATGTAAAGTTAGCCTGTTCCTTTACTTACTAAAACTATTTAAAATTTTAAACGTAGTAGTGATAACTCTTACAATTGAATTGTTTTACTGGGTTCCACTTCCACTGTAAATATTAATTGCTACTAATAATATAAGTAAAAAGAAATACCCGAGACTAATGCAATTTTTGCAAATATGACAACATTTCAAGATAACAGGGGAATCCCTTTTCTTCAATAGACAATAATGTACTCCATTAGATTGTCAATGGTTTGTTTTATAAAGTTATGCTCTTCCTTTTCCTTTGTGTAAAACATAGACAAAGTTATTATTTTGCTATCACCGTGACTGTCGTTCCGGTTGACTCACTGACGTTAACTCCCCAAAATTTTTTAATTTTTTTCACTGTTAAGAGAATTTTTTTGTTTTTTAATTAATAATAAAATACGTATACAGTTATATTTCTCATTAACGTGGAAGGTGTGTTACAGTTAAAAATATTTAGAAACTTTAACTAATCAACGTATAGATAATAATATTACAATTTCACTAATAATCCCAATATTCAATTTACTAATCAAATATTATTGCTGGTGTATTATATCAAGTGAATTGCCATTTATGTAATGAGTGATGGTTATATATCGGTGTTGTACACTTTTTTTTGTTTAGATATAATTATTTATAAAATCATAACATTAATATACCTAACATTAATGTAAAATTAATAAACAACTTCATTAAATATATTATTAAGACGATTTAATACTATTCTAAAATATTGTTGCGTGAATAAGTCTACGTCATACACTAGCGCCATCTAGTGTCAGTAGCGAGAACGAGGGGAGCTTTGCAGAAAATGACGTCACAAATCTTTCAACCGACAGCGCCATCCGAAGAACTAAGTTTCTAGAAAATCTACACTCGCACACTCGTCGCTTTGCGCGCATTTACTTGAATATTCCGGATGCTTCATTGCTAATTTGTATATATAGGCGCTGTAAGATGCGATCGGGGCAGTGTTGATTTGGCGAGACAAGCGAAGCTTCGGAGCGAAATAAAGTGAATTAGTGTGTTTAATTATTAGTGTTATAAGTTTTAATTGGTGTAAAGAAAATTAAAGTGTTAATTTAGGTAATTATATCGGCAATTTTTATTGTCACGAACCTCAAGCTCGTAACAATTGGTGTCAGAAGTGGGATAAAATCATGCCGATTTTACCTAAGGAGGAAACGGAGGGTGTCCGTACCCGAAGTCAACGCCAACAGGAGACAGACCAACGAAGATTTGGTGGTGCAACGTCGCAGACGTCGGAGGGCCAGCCACCGGCTACAGGCCCGTCGGTAGCTCCTACATCTGCAGCACCTGACTTAGGTGCTCTGATGGTGATGCTGCAGGAGCAGGCTCGCCGACAGGAGGAGCAGGCTCACCGACAGGAGGAACAGGTCCGTCAGTTGAAAGAGTAGCTGCGGGGCGGACAGAAGGAACAGACCCGCCGACAGGAAGACCAGGTTCGTCGTTTGGAGGAGCAGCTGCGGGGCGGACAAGAGGAACAGGCCCGTCGGTTGGAAGAGCAGATGCTCCTCATGAAGGACCTTCACGCTACCTTCGGGAAGGAGATAAAGGAGGTGAAGGATAGGGTTGCTCAGCATGACAACCGCCTGTCGGAAGCTGAAACCCAAATCGCGAAAGCTGAGAACCGAATCGAGAAAGCTGAAACCCGAATCGACCAAGTAAACAATCGGGTTGACAACGTAATGGCTGACATGAGGAAATCACTTGACGAACTCAAACTTGGGGAGGGAACTACAGCTCCCGTAGTAGCTACTACACCTTCGCTACGTGGGTTCAAGGTGCCACCGCGTTCGACGGTACCTCTTCCTGGTCAGCCTACAAAATCCAGTTCGAGGCTGTTATGAAGGCGAACGGCTGGAATAAAAGTCAGGCCATGACTGCTCTCACACTAGGCCTGCGCGACCAGGCCTTAACAGTTCTGGAAGCTCTCGGTGAGGAAGTGACTTATGAGCAACTCCTTGAGGCATTGGAGGCGAGATATGGCGACGCTCACCTGGAACACGTCTTTCGTGCGCAGCTTAAAGATCGTGTACAGCGCATCAACGAAAACCTGCAGCAGTATTGGATTTGGCGAGACAAGCGAAGCTTCGGAGCGGAATAAAGTGAATTAGTGTGTTTAATTATTAGTGTTTTAAGTTTTAATTTGTGTAAAGTAAATTAAAGTGTTAATTTAGGTAATTTTATCGGCAATTTTTATTGTCACGAACCTCAAGCTCGTAACAATTGGTAATACATTCCATGGGCTTCAATGTTTAACATGAGCAGACGCTGTTTGAGATTTTGTTCGTTAATCATTGACTCATTGTAGCTTTCCCAATTTCCTGCTAATATTCGGCAATAAGCGAAATAATGACCCGTAACATAAGCTGCTACACTAGATAATCTAAAAATGAATAAATGAGTAATGAATCAACTATACCAATACAATACAATACAATACAAATGTAAAGAGCAGTGTTACGAACTTAGGGTTCGTGACAATAAAAACTGCCGATTGAATTACCAAAATTGACACTTTAATTACTGAACACCAATTAAAACTTAAATCACACTAATAATTAATCACACTTAACACTTTAGTTTACTTTATTTCACTCCGAAAGCTTCGCTCGTATCGCCAATTCAATACTGCCTCGGTCGCGGCTCTCAGCGGCCTTAAATACGCCTTTTTCACCGAAACATCCAGAATGTTCCAGTAAATATCGGTCCCGACCAAGTTCATAAAGTTCGAGTGTGAACTTTTCTAGAAAGCTTAATTCTTCTACTTGTACTTGTAAAGCTTAACTCTTCTACTAGATGGCGCTGTTGGGAGAGTTCAGGAATGGCATTTTCTAGAAAGCCCTCCTCGCTCTGTTCCCCGACACTAGATGGCGCTAGTGCCAGGTATCAGACTTCAACTTAGCCAACACTGCCCCCTCCTAAGAGATGCTCGTCCCGAGCATTATCGGTCCCATAATGACGTGCCAGTCGATCCACACGAACTATCTTAGGAGTACCTCTTGCACCTTTCTGAAACAGCTCTGCAACGTCCAGGGCTGTCCTCCTCATGATGCACCAACATTGTACAATTTCAATGCACCTCTACTACGAGTGTGAGGTCCCTTCTCAGCCGCACAACTTGTACATTTGCGACACCAATCCTCGACATCGTCACGATAATGGAACCAGTAAAACCGTTCTCAGATTTTCATTAGAGTTCGTTTAACTCCCAGATGGACTCCTGAACAACCACTATGGTACACCTGTAGAACATCCGTTACTATAGCTTTAGGGACAACCATTTGCAAACGACAGCTGTCTCCTCGACCATTTTCCCATTTACGGCACAGAACTCCATCCTGAAACAGCAAGCTGTCCCATTGGGGCCAATAGCTTTTCGTGGTCGAACTCATCGCTGAGACATCGCTCCACTTGAGCTTTGAAGCACTGGCCTTCATCTATTCTAGAATCGGCTTGATGTCTGGATCTTCCTGCTGTGCATGTTGTAATCTGTCCTTCCACTCGTTGCTGAGGTGGTCTGTCCTGAGCATCCTCATGGATATCACTTCCTATCAAGAGGGTACTCTTGCCTATTACTGTTCTCGCAATCATCAGGGTATGATCTTCTAGACAATGCATCTGTGTTGCCAAGTCATTTCCCGCTGCAGTGTCCGATAGTAAATTCGTATTCCTGCTGCTGCTGGGCGGTGCTGTTAGCCGCACTATCCTTTCAAGATCGATCACCTTCCCTTTTTACAGACCGCTCAGGGCAGCTGGGTCGAAGATGGCCCCTTTCCCCACAGTTGTAACACCTTGGGCTGTAACTTGTATTGTGGTCGCGAACTGTAGCTG